CCCCCCCCTGCCTCCTGAATCCGCCAATTCCCTTGTTGTAGGACACTGCCTGCAGCTGCGAATTGTTGCTGCTGCAAGTATTTTTAGAGTGCATTTGCAGAAGGAATGCGGTAATGTTGTGGACGCGTATGTTGAGTACGACATTGTGCTGATCATCATCGATCTGATGCTACAGTACATCACCGCCTACAGACATCTGCTCGTCAACACAAAGAACCACGTACGGCTTGGTGTGCTATTCCATTTTACCAAGAGCGAGCGCATAGGGGCATTTCTAAGGCCGAAAAACACATCGTCGACCTCACTAAGGGTAGCTCTGTCTGGCTCATCGACGGGTACGGTGTTGGAAAATAGCCAAAAACATTCCGCTTGGTCGAGTTGGCTGACTTTTGTCCGCTGGTCACACTTGGCGTATTTGCTCAGATTCGTGCAAGTTGTGGACTTCCCTGTCACTAAGCTATTTGTACTTGAACAATGTGCGATGTATTTGTGGTTAAAAGCAGCTGTGGGTGGACATGAAGAATGCTAGAGAGAAATTCGGCGAGTAAAAAACGATCCGTGCAAAGTATCCCAAAAGGAATGCACGGGATTAACTGGCTAGCCAATAATGTCTGCAAAAAAAGCCTAGTTAATGTCTCTCTCTCTCTCTCGTTTGTGTGAAATTAATGCCCAACTGTCTCGTGTTGCTGATGATATTTTTAGAAGTTGCTTCGTTTCCTCTGTAGTCTTTGGGCATTTTAATTGCCGGTAATTCATCGCGGATTGTCGATGGATTATTCTAAGTTTGTTGAACTGAAGGAATATGTTATTCTTCGTCCTCCTACAAATCAGCGTTCCTTTTCCGACTTGTGACGCCGGCTTCTGGCGCGATATCCGCTCACTTCTCCTTGTTTTGCATCCCTCTGAGAGTCATATTACAGTAGCTGTGTGATCAAGATGCTCTTCTCTGTCTGGCGAATATCTCTGAGCATGTGCTTGTTTGTACAGCAGGTTTGAAGTGCGCTGAGGGAAGTGCTTTCAGTCGTATCACAAATTGTTTATTGTATTTCTCCTGTGCGACGCATACAGCAAGTGGATTCGTCGGCGGATCATTGCGGGCACCGAAAACATCTATGATTTGGAGTGGAAATTTTACGAATGTTTGCTGCAAAGTGCGCTTGAGATGCTCTCATTCCTGGCTGTCTTGGTGTACTTGTTATGGCCCGGCACGCTGCGCATTATTTCCCGAAAATTGGCGATGCAAATTTGCTGTGCCGGATTCTACGGTCTGTTTCATTCATCAAAAACATTCATGAAACTCACGAACTACTTGCTAAAAGAAGACCGTGGCTGGACGACGATTTGCTCATGCCTTCCTATGAGGACTGAATTGGTGCGCGCATGGTCATCATGCTTGAGCTTGTGGACCAGTACAGCTAACCCTGCTTTCTCTGAAAAATTAATTTTGAACGTGACGTACGCAGTTTCGCAAAATTGGCCCCTCATTTTTAGCATGTATGACCTGAACTGATTGGCTGTTTGGGATGTGAGAAAAAGTGCAGGATATAGCAAAAGTTGTCGCGGGCCTCAGATTAAGCCCTCTTTTATGTCTTCATGGAGTGAAAAATGTTCAAGAATTATACAGACTAAACTCAGTTCGACCAGAATCCAGTCTTTGGTCTGATTTTTTGTTTCGATTTGCTCTGACTTTTAAGATATGTAAAGGATACGAAATTGATGCATAATGGAATTTAGGAAACGTCTTTGTGGTGCTATCGATTGTCTGGGATCTTCACGTGGTTTGGTCATATAGGGCCCTTACAGAACTATTCATATTCATATCACATGTACAGACTCAACGAGGTGATTTTTGTTCCTTTCCAAAAATGGCTGCCTTGTCTGTTGCATCTTTAAAATATTAAAATTTGTCCCAGTTCCTAGTAAGATTTTCAAAGTGCCCAGTTTACAACAAATGATGTAGGCTTCAGCAAATATCATGAACACTAAGATCGCTTGGGGATTCCTTATCAGTGGGATGTTGTCTCGCACTTGGTATTCTTAGTAGGTAGGCTGGA